TCATTTGGAATATTCGGAATATTTACAATTATAAAATCTGCAGTTCGAATCATCATTTGTTTATGTAGTTGAATAGTAATACACACGCGCATATATATATATATATATGTGTGTGTGTGTATATGTAGGAAGACAATTTATTTTCTTGGAGGTCGGGGGGGGGGGGCGAAAAACTTTGACACCAGTAAGTGTAACTCCTTAAGAGACGAGGTAGAAGCTTGTTTTAATTTCAATTCAACAAAGTGCTGACCATGGTGTCAGGAAGCTGGTGGTGAGAAATGGTTGAATTGGTACAGGGATGGTTCTGCTTTTGCTTAATTGCTGGCCATCAAACCATATTTCTCGAGAAAAGAAAGATGGCCCCCTTTTGGTATTTTGCATTTTGTGATCCAATTAAAATTTCCGGTTAGAAAAAAAAAAAAAAGGGTTCGATTATTAATTTATGGAAATTAAAGGAGTGTTTGGTTTTTGTATGGCTACTTACTCGGTCAACAACTAGGTAGGAATCCTTCAATTAATGAAAATTTAGCTTGTATTACCTTACCAACCATGAATTCAAACTTTAAGTCCAACCTTTAGATTATCTCTCTTGTAAGGGGATTTTGATTGTAGAAAGCCTTTGTCAATTACAAGAGTATATCATATTATCACATAATCTAAAAAATTAATAGAAAATAAAACCATATTATTGAAATTCTTGATGAGAATGATAGTTGGGTTAAAGATCTTAATAACACAAATTAGGTAGCCATAAGCTATTATAAAATTATGTAAATAAAAGATAATGACAAGAGACTTGTACTCCTCATAACTTCAATAGTCGTGATAATCTTATCTTAGATGAGGAAGTGGTGGAAGTTGTACACTCTATGGAACCTCTTTAAGCTCCAAGATTTGAGGCCTCAATGTTTGTTTTTATTATAACTTTGGAATATGGTAGGGCTATGTGTTAAAAGATTTGTTAAGGAGTTTCTAAAGGTAACTTGGACATTAGCAAGGTTGTTAATACAACGATTACTCTCATCCCAAGATGGTTTTCCCCAAGTTTTTCGCAGATTTTCACTCAATAAGTTTATGTAATATGATTTACAAAATTATTATAAAAATCTTAGGAAATTGTCTTAAATAAGTAATCAGTATATTTGTTTATATGAATTAAGCTACTTTTGTCTCCAAACACGAAATATAAAAAGGGATCATAAAAGGTACATGACCATTAAAGTAGACATTGAGAAAGCATATGATAGGTTGAGTTGAGATTTTATCGAGAATACATTTAGAAATGCGAGGACTCCACCAAAATGGATAGTGTGCACCATGTAATGCATTAAAGTTGCCTCCATACAAGCTATGGTAAATGGCAATACGATGGGCACCTTCCACCCATCTCAGGGACTTCGACAAGGAGATCCTCTCTCTCCTTACTTATTTTTTCTTTATATTGAGAGACTAAGGAATATTATTTAAGAGAAGGTTTTCGAAAGAGTGAAAGCTTATCAAAATAAACAAATGAGGCCCTTACCTCTCTCATCTCTCTTTGCTAATGACTTACTCTTGTTTTCTAAGGCATCTTAGACCCAAATGCACAAGATTTAAATTTGTATTGATGTCTTTTGTGATAGTTAAGGGCAGAGGGTAAGTCTTGTTAAATTTAAAATCTTCTTATATAAAACTATTAACATGGATATAAAACATGACTTAAACAAGATTAACATTTTATCTTAAACCAATGATATGGCAAGATATTTGAGCATTCTTTTTCTCTATATAAGGAACACTAGATATATTTACCAATAAATTGTTGAAAGAGCCAAGAGGAAGCTTGGAGGCTCGTAAATTCCCCACCTATATATGGTTGAACAATACACCTTAGTGAAATCTATCATTTATATTCTTCCTATTTACTCCACACAAATTGTGTTCCCCTATACCTCCATTTTGGGACAAATCATCAAAATTATCAGATACCTCACTTGGTGGAGGAGAAGTAAAGACCATAAGGTTTATTTTGTTAAGTGTGATAATGTTTCCTCTCCTAAAAATGTGGAATGTGCAGGAGGGGGGGATGGTGGGATTTCACGATATATTAGCTCAAAAAAAGTTGTTCTTGACTTGGTCAATCTTCTTCAACTCGCCTTACAAACCTGACACAATCATTTCAAACATATTCAATGATTAAGTTATGAATCAAGCGAATGGTGGGTAATGGTTGTAAAAGTAAGTTTTGGAAAATACTTGGGTGGAAGACCAACCTTTGGCTAATTTGTTCTAAACCTAGATGAGTTTCAAGCAAATTAAGAGGACTTTGGACTCTTATGTGAACTTGGATGGCAATTAAGAAATTGGAGGAGACTTTATCCCTTCTCCCATGTAGAACCAGCCTTGATATATCCTATATAAGGTTGCTCAGGAACATCAATATAACAAACGAGGTTCAGTGAATATAAACTAACAAAGAGAAGGTTATCGTGAAAGTGGCCAATAAATGGATGTGTAATAAAAGTGACAATAGATAAAATAAATTTTAGAAACTTATTTGGTCCCTTTTTATCCATAAGGGAATTAGACATTTTATGTGTTTACTCATTTCTTGGACCCTCCTTATGAATGAGGAAAGGAAATGTTGTTGCCTTATATAAGAAAACTGATGCTCTTGTTGTTATAATTCTTGTGAGAGTATCTTTCATGTCTTATAAGAATATTTGATGTCCAAACAAATATAGATTAATCTTATTAATATAAAATATACTAATGATTTTTTTATTTTGTTTTACAGGTGGATCCACTGGAACCTTCATAAGAAGGCTAGTGCTTATGTAATTGCTAGATGAAGATATATTTTTGTAATTACTATATGACTGCTTTGGAAAAGGAATGAAGTGGTCCATGAAATCAATGATAAGTTCATAGCACCATTTAGCTATGTTATCGTCAGCATGACCCTTGAGTTTTACACTACACACACTTAGAGCAACTAAGAGCGTGGTACTAATGACTAGAATAGTGGGACCAATATCGGTTAGAGAGCTCTTCTTAAGGATTGGTTTAAGCTCAATGTCGTCCCTTTGTTTATCGTGATGTAGGCAATTCTATGATGCAGACCTCATTTTTAATACTACTATTAGGTGGATAGTTAATTTTATAAACTAGATTGGCACTACCTGCCCTATGACGGCTGATAAATGGATATTCTTAAAGGTATTAATCATTATGAGATAATGGAATTAGGAGGTTAATCATCAAGTGGACTTGTTTCTCTTTACCAATATGTTATAACGAGCAGAGAGTTCAACTCACTATAGCGATATAACCACAACTCAAATAAAAAAACTTTTTCTTCGAGGTTAGAGGTATACATCTCTTAAATCTTTTAGACAGTAACCACGTCTATGGACCTACCTGGCTCGTTGGAGAGATATATTAGACTTGGTCAAGATCCTACAACCCTTCACTATTACTTGCACTTGGATTTTTGCAATACTCCATTTGGACAAAGGTATGTAATAATTTCCCCCATTTCTCATATAAAAAGATATAGCTCAAAGAGCTCAAAATACTTTAATAGAATGATACCTTATATGACCATACTATCGATATTTTAATTAAATCATTAAGGAGATATCTTGATCAAATAAAAGTTTTAATCCATACAAGATTTTGTTCATTTGTACCGATTATCAAAGTAAAAAGAAAAAAAAACGACACCTAACTTGTCATGTCATTAACAGCTTTAACAAAAATATCTTTTGATAACTAAAAATGATTTCAGGTTAGTTTTCTTATAAGTATATTAGCAACACACAGAGAACCACATATATATATGTATATAACCATGTTTATTGTTGCGTAAACAACTACAAATGTCATTCATACGGAGACAATAATAATATTTGCTATCTAAAGCTTTCTATGATATTAATATGTTTTTGTTGTTCTCCCTCACCATTGTTACTAATGATTGTCACAAAGTTCTTGCCAAAGACACATTCGAAGCCCTAATTGACCATATGCCCATTTTTTAGGTTGAGAAATATGGAATTTTCAACTTCTATGATTTATAAAAAATATCTTTATATCTCTAAACAAGATGGATATATAATAAGAGAAAAGAAAAAGAAGCTTCGCCAAAATATTTCAAGAAGGGAACTTCTTTAACTCTTTGAGATCTTTTCAACATGAGCATCCCAATTCCTGTTTAAAATGGTTTTAACCAGTAGCTTACCATTCAATGTGGTTTTAGCCTATTAAGTCATAAATAAAAAAACTGTCAATTTAATGGGAATCGTCTCGCAACTTATAACTTTGTAATAACACCATACATAAAATTTTTATCATATTTAGAGTTTATAAGTGCTAATAAATAAATTGAGAGAAATAATAGAGAGATTAATGCAAAAAGAACGATAAAATAAAATATTCAGTCAATTTAGTTACTTTGGTTAAAAAATTTAAAAATTTAAAAAAATCATCATAATTAACTAAATTGATCAAATTGTACATAAAAACTGAAATCAAACTAACTAAATCTATTTCTATCGTTATTATTAATAATAAAAAAAATAAAGTAAATCAACAGAAGTATAATTTTTTAAATTTTATTAACATTAATAAAAATATTAATAATATATATGTGCATATAATAAATTGTTATACACGTAACACATAATTATTAATTTAATTATAGTTACTAAGTTTTAAAAACCAGTATATTATATGTAGTTATTAATTTAGTATATATAATTATTAATTTAAAAATTAAAAACTTAATCGATTTCAAAAAAATCTTACACAAACCAAATTGATCTCCTTAAATGGTTCAGTTTATTTAATTTTGTTTTATTGTAGTGAATTTTTTAGCTCATTCCTATAAAATGGAATAAAAAATATTACTTATGAGATAACAAGAAGAATGAAACTACAAAAGATAATGACAATTGTGATAATATTGTGCTCCCAAAATTCAAGACCAATGACCCTTCATTTCCTTCATACGCCCGCACCAACAACCACCAAGTCCCAGCACGATTTTGATCATATATTTAACATCAAATTTTAAATGTCATACATTCTGCCACAGATTTTTACCACACAGTAAAATAATTTCAATTGAAAACAAATTTTAAGCCAAATCTCATTTAGGAAGAGACCGATGTTGGAGGGAAGCTTTTGCCAAAAGTTAGATTAAAAGCAGGCTACCGGATACGTTCACAGCGACGATTTTTAATGATTTCCCTTTTTTTCCCTCTCCTCTCCTCCCCTTCTCTTTTGAAAACCCCTCCGCGCTACAGCTAACATTTCTCTCTACCATTTTTAATTCAACCTCTGATTGCAAACCCTAAATTTCCAGATTAACTGAGGGAGAAGTAAAAGCGAATAGGACAAGCAAAATGCCGAGAGAGATCATCACACTGCAAGTCGGACAGTGCGGGAACCAGATAGGGATGGAGTTCTGGAAGCAACTTTGCCTCGAGCATGGTATCAGCAAAGAAGGCATTCTTGAGGATTTCGCTACTCAGGTTTGTCACTTTCTCTCTACTATAAATCTCTATTTCTTTACCTTGTAGGCATATGTATTTGTACACCTGTGTACCTAGAACGCAGAGATAGTATTACATGTAGGGATATGATTGTTTTAATTTTCATTTCTGGTCTTACGAGGTTTCTTAAGTTTCTTCTATGCTGCGGATTTGGTTACCTTTTTTTTTTTTTTTTTTTTCCGTCTAATCATGTTTTAGCATTCGTTTATTGTTATCTTTCCCTCACTCACTCACTCACTCACTCACTCCTTAAAGGGTATTAGGGGATTTGAGATTATGGTGGTGAGTTTGCTCTCTCTCTCTCTCTCTCTCTCTCTCTCTCTCTCTAATTTTTCTGTTTGACTTATGTATGTGTTATTTTTTAGTGATTTTGCTTGATGATATTGACACTCTTAAGTAGCATCTAATATCCCATAAAATGCGTAGCAAGCATTTTATTTCTACCAAAATTTTTGTGAAATTCGCAAGTTATAACTTATAAGTCAAGCACCAAGTCCTAGCTACTTCAACTATGCGGATTGTTCCCTCAAAACGTGATTAGCCTGCTAAAAACTAAAACTAATATTTACTTGTCTTGAGTCGCATAGTCATTGTATTCAGTGAAGATATTTGCTCATGATAGATTCGTTAGAGCAGACATATAATCATTTTTCTCCACTCGTTTTGGAGCAAGTTGTGGAGCATTCTTGTCCTTGCCAATTTATTTGATCGATTCTTTTGGACCCTCCCCAATGGTTTAATAAATACACATATACTATCCTAATTTAGGTAAACTTAGCAAGAAGTTGCAACACTGGTAGGTCTTGTAAAGAGTGGATTTTTTCGTAGTTGAAACTTTTGCAACACTGCTAGTCTTGGATTTTCTTGTCAATAGTTACTCCTTTACTGAGCACTATTTTTGGGATTGTTTGGAATAATTTATTTAAACTTGGTGTGGTAGGGAGGTGACAGAAAAGATGTGTTTTTCTATCAAGCTGATGATCAACATTATATCCCACGGGCTTTGCTGATAGATTTGGAGCCCAGAGTAATCAACGGAATTCAAAATAGTGAATATCGGAATCTCTATAATCACGAAAACATATTTGTCTCAGATCATGGCGGTGGTGCTGGCAATAATTGGGCAAATGGTTATGATCAGGTTAGCTCCTTGTCTCTTTTAATGTTTCAGCATGTAAATCAATCAGATTTTATTTACTTTCAAATAAGTTGCATCTGAACTTGTTATGTGAGTTGCCTGATTTCCATCATCTGCATAGGTGCTAGTTTTATATAGAGATGATTAGTAGATAGCAATGTGTCACTTGCACATTCATGATGCTTTTCAATTGTGTTTCCTCTATTAACTTTGATCAGGGAAAGGGTGTAGAAGAGGAAATAATGGACATGATAGATCGGGAGGCTGATGGAAGTGATAGTCTTGAGGGTTTTGTTCTGTGCCATTCAATTGCTGGAGGAACAGGATCAGGTTTATTCATATTCTAACACCTGTTTATTTTCCCTGCTCTTACCCGCCTATTTCTTTGTGAAGGATCTACATCATGATCTCTTTTTCTTTTTCTTTTTTCTTCTTTTAAGAATAAATTCGTCAAATTTTCTGCCTATTTCTGTAGAAATATAGTTAAAATTTGACATTTTATAAGAAGTTCAGCATTGTAGTTGAATTCTTGGCTTGCCTCTTGACATATACCTGAGGATTTCTCACTTATGCACTACTTCTTAATATTCTCGTCTTATCTAATGAAGGCATGGGTTCATACCTGCTGGAGACTTGAATGATCGATACAGCAAAAACTGGTCCAGACATACAGTGTCTTCCTTAATCAGATGGTGACAAGTGATGTTGTTGTGCAGCCCTATAACTCACTATTGACACTGAAGAGAATGACAATAAATGCTGATTGAAGTGTTGTTCTTGATAATACTGCATTGAATAGAATTGCTGTGGAGCGCCTACATCTGAAAAATCCTACATTTGGTCAAACAAATTCTTTGGTGTCTACTGTAATGTCCGCAAGCACAACTACTCTACGATATCCAGGATACATGAACAATGATCTGGTTGGCCTACTTGCATCTTTAATTCCAACACCAAGGTGTCATTTTCTTATGACTGGATATACTCCACTCACAGTGGAGTGCCAGGTAATATTTATGGCTGATATTGTTTGGTTGATGATTTCAATATATTACGTAGTGTTCCGAGTCAGTATAGATATTGGGTTAATTATTTGAAAACCTGCATGATATATGTTTTCTTGGTGTCTTGGAAGATAATGAACTACTTGACTTTATGAAGATGGTACCTGATTGTTGTCATGCCTCTTCCATCATTTGTTTATTGAAATGTTTATACACTTGTGTCATATTATAGTGAGCTTAGTTCTCTGTCCAAAAATCATATTGAGCTTATGCGTTCTCTTTCTGAGAAAAATGAAAGTGATGCACCAGAAGTTGCTCACAATAAAGACTAAAACTTTAAAGAATAATGTTGAATTCTATTAAGTTATATCTAAAACTGTTACTTAATTAGTCATTTTATAAAGTTTGTAACAAGAATCCGACTAGGAATAGGAAATCTTAATAAACTAATAATCTAACTAGAAATAGGAAATATTGAGGAAACTAGAAAACTAAAATAAATCTTAGACTTAAACTAGAATACAAAAAAATAAAAATCAAATAACACTTAGAATTAAACTAGGAAAAGCATGCTGCATCAAAGAGAATTGAAAGGCAGCTATCCAAGAGCTTTTGGATTTAGAATGCTAACTTTTCACATTCCCCTCAACAACTTTTATATGATATCTTCGCATGTTGTGTCCCCTCAATAAGAATATGTGAAAAAAAAAGTGTTGCTTGTGGCAATGACCAAGCCAAGTGCTTGGGTATTTGAGCTCGACTAGTTTAAATTTTGTCAGAATCGAGTTCAGTTTGAAGCTTAAATTGAGTATTTTTTTTGCTTGACTTGGCTTGTTCAAAGAATTATGAAGTTTGGGCTTCCTTTTAGTTAGAAGAGCTTTTTTTGGGCTTGAGTTTTGCTTGAGTTTGGTTTTGGCTGAGCCAAGCCTGAATCGTTTGATACCAGGCTCGGCTCGTTGCCACCATGTGTGGTGCTACTTTCAAAGTCACTATTTAAGTTCAGTCAGTTTAACAATTAGCATATGAATGAAACATATTAAAAATGTAATATAAAAATATAATATATTTTATCTAATAGCAGATAAGCAGACATGTCTAGGAGCTATTGTCCAAATAGTTCAATATAGATTTTGGGGTTTTAGTTAAAAAGCTTTTTTTCCAGGTCTGTTTCAGCTTGAGTTTGATTTTGGCTGAGCTCAAGCAGAGGTTCAATTGCACGAAGACTGAACTATTTGATAATGTGTTCGGCTCAGTGCCATCCCTAGTGGTGCTATTTTGAAAGCAGCCATTTATTTTTCAGTCAGTCTAACATCATCCTGAATGGATAAATGCATACGTTGTGTATTTTTTTTTTCAAAAAAAGAAGAGGAAAGATCGATGTTTTAAATATTGTGAAAATGAAATTTCACCCACTTTCTATATCATATAAAGGAGAGGAATATTATCTAGCAAATGACATTAAGATGATATCATATATTATCGCTCATTCTTTTTAAATTTCCTCAATTAGCATAATATTCTTTCTTTTTTCTTCCAAAAAAAAGGAATATATGCTAATTAAACGAGAGAAGTAGCGTGGGATGCTAGATAATATTGTACTAATATAATATGCAATTTAATTTTCTGTCTAGCTGATTGTGGAAAGAACTGAAAGATTTTCTAATGTGATCAATGGTTTATTTTTTGTACTATTGCTTCCTTCTTGTCTCATCTTCATCCAAAATTTATAGTATCTGATGTGGCTATTCTTGGCAGGCTAATGTAATCCGTAAAACTACTGTATTGGATGTTATGAGGAGACTTCTACAGGTGGGTTCCTCTTCCAGTGAATTTTTCCACCAGCATGGAGTTTACTATTCTTCTAAGCATGATTGTTTTTGCAGACAAAGAATATTATGGTTTCTTCTTACGCTCGGACAAAGGAAGCTAGTCAAGCAAAGTATATTTCAATATTGAATATCATTCAAGGAGAAGTGGACCCTACACAAGTAATATGAACTTGCCATTCAGAAAATTATTATTTGTACTCATTGTTTGACATTTCAATCTGCTTTGCCTTTCTCTTTACATTAGCCAAGGCCCAGTTTGGTTAGTCCACAAATCATCAGATATACAATACGTTGTGAAATTTGTTTATTAGTAAACAACATTACTTGCTCTGTATCAGGTGCATGAGAGTTTGCAGAGGATACGTGAAAGAAAGCTAGTGAATTTTATTGAGTGGGGCCCTGCAAGTATCCAGGTCTTCTTCCACATTTAAGCTTGACATACAGATTGTTGTTTGATGATTTCTTAACATCCTGATCTATATCAGCTTCGTTGTTTTCTCTTATTTGTAGGTTGCACTCTCAAAAAAATCGCCTTATGTCCAGACTGCTCATAGGGTAGGTTTTAGTTCTCACCTCACTTGTATAGCATTTTTTTTATGTTTACCATTTATTAAAGCACTATTCAGGCATAATTTGATTTATGGATGATTTTGGATATGAAGTTCTATAACTTTCCGTACAGTATATTGTCCACTTGTTTGAGGGAGAATTAACGAAAGAATTAATAAAATTACACTTCTTGCATTTATCAGGTTAGCGGTCTCATGCTTGCAAGTCATACCAGCATCCGACATCTTTTCAGCAAATGCCTGAGCCAGTATGAGAAGTTGAGAAAGAAGCAAGCTTTTCTTGAAAACTATCGGAAGTTTCCAATGTTTGCTGTAAGTTGTTAACCCATTGGTATCTCTGTTCTATTTCGTTCCTAGTTTATTATTGTTTTATCATGTTTCAGTCTTCCTCATTGGGATCACGCTTATGTTTTTTCTATAAGCAATGTGTTTCTTGTTCTCTGCAGTCCTCTCTTGACAAACTATAGACGGCCAAGTATACCATGTATTCAAAGTGTGCCTGCTTTATGGAATGGTTCATTCATTGTTGATTTCTAAATGTGGTGTTAAATTTCAACAGGACAATGATCTTTCGGAGTTTGATGAATCAAGGGATATACTAGAGAGTTTGGTTGATGAATACAAGGCTTGTGAGTCTCCAGATTACATCAAATGGGGAATGGAGGTATTCACCGTGTTAGCACTGACTTTTTTATTGAAATAAAACACTCTGATAGGACTGACTTATCCATCTATGTCATAGAAAACATCTTTACTGAGGATTTATGTTGCAGGATCCAGACCACATTCTAACTGGAGAAGGGAATGCTGCAGGAACAGTGGATCCAAAGTTGGCAGTTTGAACAGAGTAAGAGAAAATTCTACACTTTGAAATTCTTAGCTTTCGACATAATTGAAATCTTTCCATTACAAGCAAAGTCAATTCAATGTGATCTACTGAAGTGTCACTTAAATCTTCTTATCATGCTCCTGATTGATCATGTGAATGGCCTTTTAAGGATATTGATAGCTCCTGGAACTAGAGACATGTTCTAGTCTTTGTCTTAAACATTTTCTGTAGTAGTACCCGTGTAAATTATGTGCGCTAGTATTTCTTGGTTCTGTTATTTATGTCCTACATAATCTAAGTTGTGCATGCTCATATCTGACTTGCCTTTTCCATAGCTTTTCTAATTTATCCATCTAATATTTCGTATGATTTAGATACATCACGTCCATCATCTTATAACAAGTATGTTAGCAGTCCTCATGGCCTTATCTTCCAACTATAAAGCATGATAGTACCTTTTTGTTAGCTGGAAAATTTCTGAAGGACATAATTTCTTTCTTATCTCCAAATTTAACATTTTAGAGAAAACCTTTGGTTATAACATTTGAAAAGGAAAGAACAAATATTTAACACCTCCTTGCATCTGGTGGTTCTAAAACTTTTTTGTGGGTTAGTGGCACCAAAATGATGAAGCATAATGCCTTGTGAAATGAAGTTTGTTCCCTTCTCTAATTTAATCAATAGCACCATAAATAGGACAAAAACACACAGCAGAAGCAGACACTGCAAGGATGTGCCCTCAATTTGCTTGGTACATTATGTCAGATAGGCCTGGTTAAATGGCATGTCTCCGGTTTGGGCATTGAGCTTTCAAGTTATGAAGGCCCTTGTCTTGATCTCTGCTTGATTGCTTGGGTGATTGGTTATGTTAACTGGTTATAGCAAGTCTTCTTTATTTCTTCCTTCAGCTTTATGTAGTTTATTAATTATACTGGAAGTTATTAATTTTTATTTAGAACTAAAAAGAACTTTCATCTGTCCACAAACTTCTGTTCCCCCAAGAAATGGATCTCATTCTGGCATTTGCTTTCTTCCTTGTCTAGAACCCTCATGGTCAGCAAAATGACCGGTTTGAAACTTTGCGCATTGCAAGGTGCAGCAGTCACTGTCTCATTGATGCTTAGATAGCACTGGAGTGAGGACTGTAAGTAAATGAATAAAGATTTCTGTTGGAACGTTTTTTACTTTTTTTTTTTTTAATGAGATGTTAAATGGTTTGTAGTTGGTGGCGATCTTTTGTGTTGTGTGAAGCTTGGTTTGTGTATTATTATTATTTTGTTTAAGGTTTTGGTACTTCCTCTGAGGCAATAGAATTCAGAATCCATTGTTGAAATCAGCCGGAATACCTTGGCTCTGGGGAATTGGGAAAGACAATTGCAACACCAATTTACCAGCTCTTTTGCCTAGAAGTCATGATCATTTCTACAGATTCTGTTGCATCCTTTTGGGGAAAGAATTACAATTAGTAACTCTGAGAACTAATTCCCCATACCGTCATCACACATGTTTTCTCTCCAACATACCATGTGTTGTAGTGAGCAGCACACTGCATTGTTGCATCCGAAAGTTCTGATAAGAGTAGTTCATTCTTAATTCTTTCTTATAATGGCTGATGTAATCGTTGTACACTTTGGAGAATCCTATATTTACCATAAATATTCTTGCAATTTCTCGTTGCTATTATTCAACTAATCCATAATGCCCTGTAAAATTCATATACTTGTAGTGTTAGCTGAGCATTTGTGGAAAAATTAAGTAGTCCGGGTGTGCTGTTTTGTCACTTGTGCTGAGCATTTGTGGTTAGTGTTTCTACCCCCACTAAACATCACACTTTTTATGTGATTCTGACAGAGCCAGTAATCAATGCGATGAGCATTTGAAGAATAAATAGTTATTTAACTACTTGTGGCCCATACATTTCTTACACGTGGAAGTTAGTAATTAAAGGGAACTGCATCTGCAATGTGGAGATGTGGTTCGTGTTTACTTGTATTCATATAGGCTAGCAACCCTGCTTCTGCCCAATGTTTTTGGGTTCTTTCAACCATACAAAACTGTCATTCAAGTCTATCTGCAAACTTCCTAACGCTCATGGTAGGTTGTTATATCCAATGTTTCCTCTTATTTTTTTTTTTCCTGGACTGTCAGACGTGCATTAAATTATTATTATTATTATTATTATTATGGGAACACTCTTTCCAGGTGATTGACGATAACTGGGGTACTAAACTTCCAGCTTATTCAAAATGTGAGCACTTAAGAAAGTCTTCAACCCTATGCTAGTCAGTAAGAAATTCATTTGCGGATCAGAATGAGAATTGAGTAGAAATATATTCTAGTGACGGGCATGACTGCTTGATTTCTTGAATTTACAGTACATTTTGGCTGGCGCATTGCCGATTTCATAGTTAAGACAGTAACTCATTGAGGTACTTAATATTGTGTAGTTATTCGATTAGGACATCATAACTAACAAGCCAGAGCCCCTTTAAATGATGTACCCCAAATAGATTATTTATTCTTGATGGAAAAATATAGGCACGGTTATAAATCTTTTGCTTAGTTAGAAAATTGTCATAATTACTCAGATTGGGGAAAAAAAAAAAAAAAAACTGTAATGCTTAATTCAACTCTATCTGCAGTGTTAGTTCTTTTTGTTTCTTTTGGATAAATTCCTTGTCTGAAAAAAAAAAAAAAAGAGTAGTGCAAGTATTTGATAAACGTGATCCCTAGCCAAAATGGCTTTAAACCTTTCTTCTTCATTCCAACTGACCTATTAATCGTCCGGCTGGCTAATTTCCGAACTGGGTTTTTGGAGAAGTTGTGTAAACCTTGTAAGACTATCAATCACAATTGCAAAAGAAGAAGAAGATGATAGAAATGGGAGGATTGCCAATTGGATTCCAGCCTCCAAGAAAAAAAAAAAAACATACTGTAAAGCTGCGTTGTGGGGGAATAAAATGATAATAATTTTGAATTTTTGAATTCGAAATTCTGGGCCCATCTAGTCTGCAACTGGCAACGGTCAGTTAAGATGAAATAATGATGATGACTCTACCAACCAAAATCTCTCAACCCATAATTCAACAAACGGCATTACAAGAAAAGATATGCAGAACCCTGTACGGTACAAACTGTTTTTCTTGTTAAAAAAAGGCTTATGACAAATCAAATGATATATGAAAATCTAGTAATAGCCATTTGATTAAAAATGTTTGCCAGAGGAGCAATTTTATTTTATTTTTTTTAAATAAAAAATGGAATTCGTTGCTATAATTAAATAATTAAAAAATTGTTGGGAAACATATTCATTTGGTTGATATGGATTCAGAAGAGATAGAAGAAAAAATCAAGAATATTTGACCATGTTAGTAATAAATAAACTTTACTTACAGAATTATAAAAATATTCAATTAGTATAACTAATATATGAATCTTTTTAAAATGATGAAAATCGATCATCATCTATTTTATGTCTCATTTCAAAAGATAATAATTGAAGTTACTGATTATTTTTAAACACACACATATATATATATATGTGTGTTAATACTAAATTCTTATGTAAATTTTTTAGTTATATAAATTAAAATGATTTAAAAATTAGAAATTGAAATTGGATGAAAGACGATGAATTGTAACAAAAAAAAAAAAAAAAAAAGTTGGGAAGTTAAATAATAGAATGTCAAATCGCGAAATTAAAAAAGATTCTGCGAAGTGTCAACCAGATTTGCGCGTTTAAAATTCGAATTTTACTGAAGAGTGAAAACCCTAATCACAAATTGCAAACCTACTACTGCCTAACATGGTCTCATGTTAACAACGACTCACAATTATGAAGTTAGCCGTTAAGTCCGTTATAAAATTAAGAAAGATCATTTTTTCTTAAATAAATGAGTCAGCCACAACTTTGCTGACAGACTGTCACTACAGTGAATTTAAATTTATATTCTACAAAAAAAAGAACAGAAAAAAAAAAAAGAAAAAACAAAAAAAAAGAAAAGGAAAGCCAGGCCAATCACATGGCTTCGTCACTGTAAATCTGTAATCAACCAAATAAAGACATCTCTCGTGGTACCCACATCCAAAAATATATTATATTTTGCTTTTCTTTTTTTCAAAAAATAAAATAAAATAAACCGGCTGACACGGTGAGCCGGTACTTATTTCTCCTGTACACTGGACTTTCCGGTTTCTATTCTTTTATATAAAGCCGAATCTCACCACCTGTCTTCCTCATTGGGTTTTCCTGTTTCTTGTCAAAGAGCTTTTCCCCCTCCCCCCACTCCCATCTCTCTCTCTCTCTCTCTCTCTCTCTCTCTCTCTCTCTCTCTCGCTGTTTCTCTCTGCGGAACAGCGGAAGCCTCGTCGGCTATACTTGCAGACATATATATATTTATACAGTTTTGTTCTTCAAGTTTGTCCTTCTGTTCTAAGGAGGCAAAAAAGTTGATAGTGAGAAAATATGGCAGCATTCTCGTCCAGGGCATGTTTTGGAGTTTTTTCCATTTGCTTTCTCGTTTTTACCATCGTCTCGCCGTATGTTAACGCACAGTCTATGGCTCCTGCTCCTGCTCCTGCTAGTGATGGTGAGTCTCATTGGCTTTCTATCTCTCTCTACTTTTTGCCTCCTTCAGATCTATTGTTCTTTATCTTCTTTTTTTTTTTTTTTTAAATTTTGTTTTATTTTTCTTTTCCTTTTTTCCTTTTGTCCTTTTAGATCCCAAGATAATCTAATCCACATTTTCCGTGAGAAGCATTATTGCTGTTATTCGTTTTTTTTTTCTCTCACGGATTTACACTTGCGCCCTTCCTGTTTCTATTGGGCCATCTTCTGTCCCAATTGACAACTATTTTCTTCAGTAAATTCCAAATTTCTCTGGTTGGCTTCTTTCACATTGCAGATATCGAGAGATGAAGCCTTATTAAATTTATCTTGTTCTCTACTTTTATGTAATGTGGATATTTCTTAACTTTGTATTGACTGTTCTCCTCATGGTCAAATTTGAGTTCAGAAGAAAAGAGGGAGAGGGAGAGAGAGAGAGAGAAACTTAGGCCCGATTATACAAATAACATTAGCTTTCAACTTACGTATTTTATATTGGCCGTAATCGCCATTGAGAAGCTTTCTGTATATTTATTTGTTTAGGAATCTGATTATATTTACATACACATATAGATTGTTAATAAAAGTTTGGTTTGATTTATTTTCAGGAACTTCAATCGACCAGGGGATCGCGTACGTGCTGATGCTGGTGGCCCTGGTGCTCACTTACCTCATTCACCCATTAGATGCATCTTCCTACAAGTTCTTTTGAAGTTGAGGATGATTAATATCAGTTAGTGCAGCTGGTCTCTGCAAGTTTGCCATGTGAATAACCTTTTATAATGAGACAAATTATATTTTTGTGATGTGATCCGTAGTTGGTATTTGTGTAATTGTTTTTCCAGAGATTGATTGATTGATTAGGTTGCGTTCTTAATTGTTCCTCCTCTCATATTCTTATTATTATATATATCATGACTTCGATTTCTCCTGGATCTACGCTCCCTTTGTCCATCTCCGATTCTTTTCTTTTACTTTATTATTATTTTCTTTTTACATCAGAGTATGAAGTTTTTAAAGATTTTTTAATACAAATTCATATATTTTATTGATGAATTACATATTCCCATATAAATTTTGGTTCTGGGACCGGCAAATTCTTTTGATTTTGCTTTGATTAAGAAATGAGGCATGTAAAATCATTTTAACAGCAAATAAAAAAGCTCATTCTTCAATTATTGACTTGGAATAGCTTTTTGAGGAAATCTTTTCTAACATATCTAAAAATCTTTTAATTTCTGTAAATTAAATTGTATCTAAAAATTTTCAATTTTTGAGGTCATGACGCAAAATAAGAGCGGCAAAAGAATTCAGAAGCTTCTTTTTTTAAATAAATAAAAATTTTTACCAAATTTTTAACAAAAAATTAGATGTGCACACTAATAAAATTTAATTTCATAATTTTATATAAAGAAATTCCATCAAGATGTCATGGATAAAAAAAAAAAAAAACAATTCTTTTAAGGATGGATTTAATTTTTTATGATTATATTATTGTATATATTAATGTTTAGCCACAAAGCTTGTGAGCTTTCAGTATCAACAAAATGTTTGGAGAGCTTTAAGAATATAATTTTTAATTTATTTTACCATCACTTGGACAAATTCAATATTTTCTTTTTATATCAATGATAATAAACGAAATTAGGATTCTTACTTGATACACTTTATTAAAATTTATTTTGAAATATTCCAGGTATAAAATTTTAATTACAAAAAAAAAAAAGCAATTAATCATCATTTTTTATTATTTTACTAAATTTTCAATTTAGAACTCCTAATTCTACAAGTTTAAAAATTAAGAAGACATCAAAATAATTTTCAAATTTAAAAGCCAATCAATACTAAAATTAGCTCAAATTGGATTTAAATCAACTTTTAATTTTATTAAGAAAATTTAAATTGCATCATAATAATTATTACCTATGAACGATGTCAGCAGTTACTACATATTTTTGCTGACGGTCGATAAGTAGATACCACACGTGACATCTACGTGTATTATTAGCTCAAAATACAAAAGTTGGGCGCATGCCCTAACTGATACGCCCAACTGAAGCGCTGACCTCAAATGCCACCCACCACCCAGCTGCTTCCATACCCTTCCATTGCAACATTACAGGAGGAGTGAAGCTGCTTCCATTGTCTTCCTTCGCGCTGTGAAGCTCTTTGTGGTTGTCAACTACTAAATCATCCACATATGCTGGCTTTTAACAATGTTAAGTAGTATTAATATTAGTGGATGACTTAAATATTTTTAAAAGTAAATAGTTTATTTCAACTCAAAAAATTTCATGGTGCAATTTAAATATTTTTCTAAAGTTAAAGGTAAAATTTTGTCCTTTTACACCCAAAAAATAAACTAGTGGTTTATCACATCTTCAAAAATATTGCACGTTAAAATTTAAAAAATTCTTAAACAGAATGATCAATTTGGTATGATGTAAAAGTGTTGTGCGCGGACATTGCTAAAAGTGTATAATGCAATTTAATAAATCACAAAAATGTGTAACATTTTTTAATTTTAAAACGTTATAAAATATATTGAGATATTATTCCTCATGTGCCACATACATGTAACTTATCACTGTAATTTTGCATCGTACATGTAACATTGACTTCAAAAATTTAGTCCGAGATAATTAATATTAACAAAATAATAAATTTAAAATAATTTAATTTTTAATTTTTTTGTTAATTTTTGAAGAAATATGAATTTTTGGATAAAATTAAAAAAAATATGATAAAACTGTAAATAAAGATGGATGTATTTAAAAGAAAAGTTAAAAATAGAGGATGAAATCACAAAAAGGAGAAATGCAGGCCATGTGAGTCAGCCACGTCAGCAGCACACTGAGTCAAAACGAGCCACATAGCAGACACACTGGCATGGGTTCCACGCAGGAGCCACGCGAGCGATCTACATACATGGGCGATCCGACGACTCGTGCTTACTCACGCGTGCACGAACGGTCTGGATTGATTTCCTGGATAAGCATGATTAGACGGCCTACGTATCTTCGATTGAACGATCCAGATTAATTTCTCAAATAAAAGCAATCCAACAGCTGAGGAGGAGCCGTGTCTCCTCGAACGGATAATCTAGATTTAATGAAGATGAGCATTTAAACTCCTCTTCATAGGGAACCCTAATCCTTGCCGCCAGAGAGGAGATCAGAGAAGAAGAAGAAGGGCGGCTAAAAAGCGAGCCAGTCACCGGAGAAGGAGACCAGCCACCGTCACTGCCGTAACGGAGCCACCGTCGATGTCGAAAAGGTAAAATATAATACCTAGACCCGAAATTTGACTTGAGATTAATTTTAACATTTTAAATATATAAAAAATTTATTTTAAATTAATTTATTTTAATTTTTGTTGAATTTATGGAAAAAAATAGGTTATGGATGAAATTGAAAATAATTTTGGAAAAAAACAGGTAAAATTTTGAGTTCGAGAAGTATTTTTGAAAGAAAAATCAGAAACTGGGGGTCAGAGTGCAAATAAAGAAAATTTTACCACGTAGGACCCCCCCAGTCAGCAACTCCGACAAACCAGTGCACGTTGGGTGGTAAGGCACGCTGACGTCGGTACCACGCGGGCGATCCGCGTGACCCGCGATCGAACAATCCAAGATTGATCCCCCACGCGTGGATGACTCGGATTTGTTCCCCCTTTAAACACAATCGAACGATCTAGATCAAATCGTGATGAACGGTCTAAATTCATTTCTTCTTTAAATGCGATCAAACAATCGAGATTAAATCATAGTGAATGGTCCAGATTCAATTCCTCCTTAAACGCGGTCAGACGGTCAAGATCAAATCATGATGAACGGTCCAGATTTAATTTCTCCTTAAACGTGGTCGGACGTTCGAGATCAAACGCGATGAATAACCCAGATTCGTTTCTTCCTTAGGTGCGATCGAACGATCGAGATCAAATGCAATGAACGGTCCAGATTAACGCGAGATGGGTATAAATATCACATCACATTGAACCCAAACCCTAACCACCAACCTCCCACTAGAGAAGAAGAACCAGTCGCTGGAGAAGGGAGCCAACCACTAACCACCGTCGCGCCGGAGCCACCTCCGACCATCAAAAAAGGTAAAAATTATCCTACCCGCTCGGAATTCGATTCTGAGCACCCCTGTGACCATATCGGAGCAAAACGAACGGCGGGTGAGTCGAAAACTGTGGGCAAAGCTCGATGTTGCCGCCGCGGGCAAAGCCCGCAACCTCATTCGATGAGCCACTATTCGTTTTCAGTTTCGTACGATATTTTTACCGTTGTGTTCACTGTTTTATTTTCTAGAGGTTGACTGAAGAAAAACTTCCAGCCACAAAGGTGAGCCGGCAGAGCCACTGCACCTGAAAAACTCCATAACCGGTAGGTTTTTATTTTTTGATTTATTCGGCCAACCGAGGCCCCATAATGTATTTTTTCGTATGGATATATATAAAACCGACTGAAACCAGCCAAAATCGGCCAAAAATGGCCAGGCCGAGGCAAACCACCGTCACAGGCGGTGATGCCGTCGTCGGAGCATGGCGGTCCCCAAAATATAACGAAAATAATTTTTTATATTGATTTTGGATTTCTATGGTATTTTTAGGTAAGTGATAAGTGTTTTGGATTCCGCATGGATAATTCAGGAAATCCAGGGATCATCAATAGGCGTAGTAAAAAGTTCAGTATTTCGGACACCAATTCGAGTAAGAATCTCTCACCATTTTCTTCGTTACGGCAAATCGAGACTTAATAATTAATAATTATGTATTTTTATTAAAAATTAGATAACTTTAAAAATAATTACAGGTCGCTAGTGGAGCTGGAATCGATTAGTTCACAGTCGTTTCGATGTCCTATTTATGTTTCTGTATTGCCTGTATTTGGTTACTATTATACTATGTGGAACTCAATTAATGATTTTTATGGTATTTTTGGTTATTTGGTTACATATTTCTCCTGTATTGTGTACCGGTATTTCGGTCATTGGTTATTTGGTTGTATTAAACTATATTGTTGTTTAAGTGAATGGTGAGTATAAAATGAGATATGGTTATTGTGTGATTGATTGTTATACTGATGAACATCTGTATGGGAAAGACTTACTGGGTACCCAGAAAAGGACAGATGGGCCCGGTACATAGGAAACCATACCGTGAATGTTACCTCAGTTGGACGGGGCTGGAAAGTCTCTTACCAGTAAGGTTTGGGAGATATGGTTCACCTTCATACCGGACGGGGTACCGAGGTGGTGGAATGTTTGGCGTCCATTATCGGACGGAGTATGGGGATGGCTGGTTAATTGTTTAATTGAATATTGGGTTCACGAGTAGGAGGACATCCCTATGGACCCCCAAGGGTACTGGTAAGCAGTAAAAATATAAAATAATCTTTCTTCTATGTGATAAATAATAGTACATGAATATGAGTTTTCATAATTATTATTGAGAAAGACTTGTTAAACAAATATGGAATAAATGACTTTTTATATAAATGAATTTACATTAAATTAAGGGTTCCATTGGTTATTTTTCTGATTTCTATCAATTTCTAGTTTTTCGTATATGTGATTAGTGTGATATTCTTACTGTGCTAATATAGCTCACCCTTTCAGTAACTATTTTAGATCAAGAGAACCAAGATCCAGATCCCAATCAACAAACGGGTTGTGAATAGTTCACCACCCAGACTCCCTTCAAAAGCTAGTGAAGGTCGTCTTAGGATTATTTAGTTATTTGTCTTTTTGTTTATTACTTTGATTTTTGTTTATTCTTTTAGAAGGGACATTCCCGTAACCCTATTGGGTATTCTAAAATATTGTGTAAGAAATGTACACCCTAATTCTATTATTTCACTTCCGCATTTCATTTATGACTTTATTTCCATTTAAGTTCCGGGCCTCTACAGTTGGTATCAGAGTCGCGTTC